TGGGGCGACCCGTTTGCTATGAAGCTGAAACTAAGACTACCAGACTACCAGACTACAACAGGTATTATTTATTACTGCAATCCTGTTTTATGAAATATACTTGAAATATACTTAGTCTTTCCTCTTGTGTCGAGTGCGGCACATAGGGCAGAGGTCATGACTCTCCATGCATGGCGGTTCGTTGCAATCTGTTGTAGGTCTTGGATGTTTGAGTGGCCCATGAGCGAGCCTTCCCTGATGATAGTTCTACGTAGGGTTTCCCTTGGTCTTCCACGAGATCTTTTCCCCTGTGGTGTCCAAATGAGGGCTTGGTAAGGAAGTCTTGATTTATCCATTCTAAGGGCGTGGCCGACACAGTTCCAGCGACGTTTTCGTATAAAATTAGACACATACTCATGCCTGGATTCTTGCCTTATTTGTGCATTGGTTCGGAAATCTGACCATTTGAAATTTAGTATTCTTCTAAGGCATTTATTTTCAAAACTGTCCAATTTTGTGTCTAGAGTTTTCGTTGATTTCCAGCTCTCGCATCCATAGGTTAGTACTGGAATCACACAATCGGTACTGGATGGATAATATGGTCAACATCATGCTAGCAGCCTTTACTTCCCAGGACATTACCTGGTATTCATTTTTAGGGTGGGTCAGCCTATGACCCTAAGTAAGTCTTGCCTGCAGACAAGTGTCTAGCCACTGTGCTCCTGCCACTACAGTGCAGACTGCATAAAGCAATCTCGGATGTGGGGAAATTAAGTTGTGAAGGAACAGTTTCTTTATCCTCTGCAATTTTTGTTTTCTTTGTCTGTATGAATAATTTCCAGCTATGTGGAATTAGTTTGTGCTGACTTTTCTGATACGCCAATTAATTAAAAGTGACTGTGATATAATCTGATCTGCTTAGATGAACCTTTGTTTAAGTAATGTATTGTACATTGAAATTGCATTATTTCAATATGCTTGGAATTTCTGATAAGATTGATTTGATTGATTTTGATTTGATTTGATTCAAGAACCGACATCACAGCACTCGGGGCATTCCCATAAGTGCTCCATCCCCATCTTCAGCAGCCAGCGAAGAGTTCCAATACTAAAGGTGCCAGTAGCTTTCTGATTAAACATCCGTCTTGCCTTTCCTCTGAGCCCTGAGCTTCTGCCAGAACCTCTCATCACCCCCAACTGCATCAATCTCACCAGACTGTGGTGATCCATCTGCTCCTCCGCTTTGGACACGCTCTCCCACAAGAAGAACTGATAAGAAGAACTGGCTATCCTCCGAATAACAGTCCCAAATTATTCAGGCTAAAAAAATACCCTAACAGGGCCTCACTCATATGTAAATTGTGGACTTATTTCCGGCAAATATACCGCATACTGTGGGAAACACTCCTCTGAATAACGGTCCCAAATCAACGAGGGTGTCAACAGCTCCGACACTGAGTGCTAGGTTTAGCTTCTCCCCTGGGTCCTAGGTTTAGCTTCTCCCCTGGGTCCTAGGTTTAGCTTCTCCCCTGGGTCCTAGGTTTAGCTTCTCTCCTGGGTCCTAGGTTTAGCTTCTCCCCTGGGTCCTAGGTTTAGCTTCTCCCCTGGGTCCTAGGTTAAGCTTCTCCCCTGGGTCCTAGGTTTAGCTTCTCCCCTAGGTCCTAGGTTTAGCTTCTTCCCTGGGTCCTAGGTTTAGGGTAAGGGCAAGGAGTATTGCAATTACAACACCGCCGCGAGAATCTGTCACAACAGTGGAACCACGACACAATCGATTGACAGGTTATGGATGGAACTCACGCAGATGCGACGTTACCACAGCGGCACTAGTTGCGCGTTGTTTACTGAATATTTAGCTCAGTTTCCTAGCAGCACAGTCACAAACATTGAGGCCCTGTTAGGGCATTTTTCTAGCCTTGATAATTTAGGACCGTTATTCGGAGGATAGCTCAAGAACCTTTTTTTTTAGTCTCTAGTGAGTTCTCCTTATCAGATCTGCAATGTATTTGCAACAGGTGACTGTTTATAATTGTGAATGAGCTGGTGGTGATCCCAAGACAGTTAGCCGATTAGTATAACAATTATATGGGTTGTGCAGAGATGAGGTTTGAAAAAAGGAAAGATGAGAACATTATTCAGAAAAAGAAAAAAAAAAAAGCATAATGTTGTTTTGAAATACATGAACTCATGAAGAGAGCTGATTACCCTAAAGATGGAGACAATTTGCATTTGTGGGAGGGGTTCACATCATGAGAAGGGGGAACTGGCATTGGTCATGACAACACTAGGGAGGAGGGTTCACATCATGAGAAGGGGGAAACTGGCGTTGGTCATGACAACACTAGGGAGGAGGGTTCACATCATGAGAAGGGGAAACTGGCGTTGGTCATGACAACACTAGGAAGGAGGGTTCACATCATCAAAAGGGGGAAACTGGCGTTGGTCATGACAACACTGGGGAGAGGGGGTTCACACCATGAGAAGGGGGAAACTGGCGTTGGTCATGACAACCCTAGAGAGGAAGCTTCACATCATGAGAAGGGGGAACTGGCGTTGGTCATGACAACACTAGGAAGGAGGGTTCACATCATCAAAAGGGGGAAACTGGCGTTGGTCATGACAACACTAGGGAGAGGAGGTTCACATCATGAGAAGGGTGAAACTGGCGTTGGTCATGACAACCCTAGAGAGGAGGGTTCACATCATGAGAAGGGGGAAACTGGCATTGGTCATGACCACACTAAGGAGGAGGGTTCACATCATGAAAAGGAAGAAACTGGCATTGGTCATGACGACACTAGGGTTTACATCATGAGAAGGGGGGAATTGGCGTTGGTCATGACAACACTTGGGAGGAGGGGACACATCATCAGAAGGGGGAAATTGGCATTGGTCATGACTTCACTAGAGTGGGGACTTCACATCATGAGAAGGGGGAAACTGGCGTTGGTCATGACAACCCTAGAGAGCAGGCTTCACATCATGAGAAGGGAGGAATTGGCGTTGGTCATTACAACACTAGGGAGGAGGGTTCACATCATGAGAAGGGGAAACTGGTGTTGGTCATGACAACACTAGAGAGCAGGCTTCACATCATGAGAAGGGAGGAATTGGCGTTGGTCATGACAACCCTAGAGAGCAGGCTTCACATCATGAGAAGGGGGAAACTGGCATTGGTCATGACCACACTAAGGAGGAGGGTTCACATCATGAAAAGGAAGAAACTGGCATTGGTCATGACGACACTAGGGTTTACATCATGAGAAGGGGGGAATTGGCGTTGGTCATGACAACACTTGGGAGGAGGGGACACATCATCAGAAGGGGGAAATTGGCATTGGTCATGACTTCACTAGAGTGGGGACTTCACATCATGAGAAGGGGGAAACTGGCGTTGGTCATGACAACCCTAGAGAGCAGGCTTCACATCATGAGAAGGGAGGAATTGGCGTTGGTCATTACAACACTAGGGAGGAGGGTTCACATCATGAGAAGGGGAAACTGGTGTTGGTCATGACAACACTAGAGAGCAGGCTTCACATCATGAGAAGGGAGGAATTGGCGTTGGTCATGACAACCCTAGAGAGCAGGCTTCACATCATGAGAAGGGAGGAATTGGCGTTGGTCATGACAACACTAGGGAGGAGGGTTCACATCATCAGAAGGGGGAAACTGGCGTTGGTCCTGACAACACTAAAGCTGAAAGGAAAACTAACAGAAAACAAACACAATTCTTTTAAATTAGGATCTTAGATAAAGATTTAATCTTAGATTAAACACAAAAAGAAAGAAAAAACTTAAATGTATAGTATGGAATCAATTTAGAAATATTAAAACAATGAACGGGTAATCAAAGACACAAATGTTTAACCTAAGACGCCTGCGTTAAAACAGAAAGATATCAACATAAGATAATGTTTGCTATAATACTTTCACTAGAAAGAAAATTGTTTGGTGTTGATGCTGTGAAAACAATTACTTACTTTCTGTGCACATTTTTCGATTGCTGGGAGTGGATGTGAATTCTCCAGTACAATTCAGGCACGGGCCAAAATCAGCTTTATCCTTATATTTATCATCTCCACATCTGACACAGGTTCCTGTTTCACCTCCCTCCTCCGCTGGACAGAAAACTGAAAAACGACAGGTGATCCATTTGTAAGAATGCACAAAATAAGTTTTAACACACTCAGTCTCCTCTGAATGCACTGCACTTCACGTGCACAATAGGCAGAGTATTGTGAAACTGTTAGTATATTCTGAATACAACTAGAAGCTATGGGAAGCCAACTGTTAAAAAAACTACCAATTACTGCCTTTTTTAAACACTTTTCGGTGTAGGCAGGGGGGTCTTTGAGTCTGAGGATTTACGGCTGCATGGCTAGTGCTGTTGCCACGGACTGTGCTGGTGAGGATTTTATTTTACCTCTGACAGAAAAAAAAAATCCCCAGCCTTTCCAAGGATTTGAACCATGGTCTCCTGCTTGAGAGCACAGCGTTCTAACTTTTCAGCCAGCCGCTCCTCTGGGAAGCCAACACACATACGAAAATGCTTGATGAAATCAGACAAGTTGGTTGAAAAGGTGAATATGTTGAAGCTGATCTATGAATTTCAACACTATGCTTTTTATACATACGTCAAAGATATAAAACTGTAGAACACAACCTGATAAGAAACGAGCAGAGAATCACCAAAAAAAAAAGACACTGAAACAGGAAACAGAGGGACTGAGGAAATGAGGACATTCAAGAGGAGACCAAATGCAAACACTGATGAGAGAAGACAAAGGTGGCTGGACTGGATTCCATCAATATCAAAGTGATTGCAAAGGACAGAACAGAAAGGGGAAATAAACTGTGAGCTCTATGTGACATATAAAGGCACTAAAGGACAATGAATTAATGAACAAATATAATATATCAAAGTAATACCTGCCTGGGACTGAAGGAGTTAAACATGAAGAAACAGTGCTTTAATAAAAATCAACATGGCACTTGATGATGATAGAAAAAAAATGTCTTACTTGTGCAGTCATCCTCAGTGGTGGTTCCTGTATTTCTTGTGGAAGTGTTGACCGGGCACATCAGGCACTCTTTCTGCAGGGACTGATTCTGGTAGTAGCCCTTCTCACATGGTACACACTCTACTGTTGTGTTATCAAAGTAAGTCCCAGGTCCACAATCACCTTAATTGACCAAAAATATACTGTTGTGTTATCAAAGTAAGTCCCAGGTTAACAATCACCTTCAATGACCAAAAATACATAAATTTATTCAAATTAAGGCTTCACTCATTTCGTATTTGACTTCTCCCTTTACATATTTTTACACATTTTTTTTTTTAAACGTATTCAATAATTACTTCTTTTTTTTTTTTTTTCACTTATGAGTGATTTGTGGAAAAAAATGTGTTTATAAAGAATTTTTTTTTCAAGAAATCCCTAAGGGTCATGACCCATGTTTTAGCTTTACCAAAGCAAGGGCTAATACAGCAATTTTTTTTTCATTAACTGTGTCTCGGTGGTTAGGCTATTTCCTCACGTTCTAATGATCGTCGACTGCTTTATGGATGCTTTGTCCAGTTCAAGAGTGCAATTTACATGGAAAAACAAGGGGATCATCACTGGAGCTATAGAGATTGCGCTTTGTGCAACACCCACAGCAGGCAGCTAGCCATTCTGCAGACAGGCTGAACCATATGGGATTAACACCTGGAGCAGTGAAGTATATCTTCTAAACTTTTAACCTTTTAATAAAACCGTTTAAAGTATATGGTGAATGTGGTACCATGAACTATAGTCAGCATTCAAAAGCTTGCACTTAAAATATACTTTTTAACTCTTGGACTCCCAGGGGGCTTAGCATCACAGGCTCAAGGGGTAGTGAAGGGTGACTAAAATTGGGCTTCTCGGTAGGAACCTATGAACCTTCCTTGGGACTCAAAGAGCTAATGTCTTTATCAGCTCAGCTATTGGGAAAACAACTATACTTACGGAGAGAGCAATTTTCTGCATCAACGGCTTTTTCAGTAACATCAGTAGTGAAGTTGACTGGACACTTCTGACATTCCATAAACTGTAAAGTGTCATTGCCACTGTTCCATGTGCCTCTCTGGCATGGTTCACACTTTCCTTGACTAACTCCAAATCCTGGCTCACAGGCAACTGTCAGTGTTTAAAATATTACAATTAAATCACCTTGTGGTGTATAAAGTCTGTAAAGTAAATAGTGTATAATACTCTGAGTGAATTAAAAACAGATTTGTGCACACAAAATAAAGTTCTGTAAAAAATACTGTCAATATAAACAAAAATATAAAAATAAACATTTAAAAATGTTTATTATATTTGAAAGTGTAATTATTTAAGTATTTGACATCACAGTTTTAGAATGTTTATATTCTGGTTTTAACTCTTTCAATTACAGTACATTACAGCAGTTGCCCAGTGAGAGAAATAACAAAATCCCAAGTGTATTATTTTTAAAGGTAATATCCGCACACCTTATAACAGAACTTTAATAAGAGAACAAAAGTTTGAAAAAAATTAGTGTGAAAACAGTTAAATCTGACAGTTAAATGCCTTGGCAATTATAGCAATGGCACTATGAACTTTGTCTCAGGTATGTTGTTGAAATTTAAAAAAAAAGTTGCATATCCTTTACAAGACATTGCAGAACCAGCAACAGCATTTGTTGTATTTTTAATTTTACTAGGCAACTTTTGTTTAGTAGTTTGCCACTGCTTTCTGAATAGTCCGCTCTTGATAGCCCCGTTGAAATCAGCTCAAAGGCAATCTGCTGGCAAATCACCTGCAGTTAGCATCAAACAGGGTAGCTAAAAATTGTGCAGTGCATTTTCAACGTCTAAGCCCCAGATAGAGACATTAAAGATCGTCGTGACAACTGGGAAGATCAGTGGAAAAGGGGTAGAGGCAGACCAAGAGAGATGATGCTGGATGAGCTGAAACGATGGCATGGAGGGATATCACCAAGAGAGCTGTTCCAGGCAACCAGGGATCGTGACCTGTGGAGACGCATGAGCACCTACAACAGTTGGCAGGGCACATGATGATAATGATGATAAAGCCCCAGATGCCAACTCAGGTATAAAAAGCTGTTCAATATTATTAATCAATTATAATATTGCTTACCTTTGCAGTCATTCAAGGATGTGCTAGCTTCTGCCTGTGTGCTGGTGTTCTGGGGGCACTGCTGACAGACAGTGGTGGAAAAAGGCATGTCCATGTCCTGGTAGGTCCCCATGGGACATTTCACACATGTTGTGTTATCAGCAGACACTCTATAACCTTTGGAACACAGCGCTGTCAAACAGATGATAAATAATGGTTCACCACTGTGCATTTGTTATTTTAGTAATAAGCATAAAGTAAGTAAAGGACCCTTTTCGACGCCTTCAGGCGTATTGGGTATATAGGGTTAGACCACTATTTTACAGACCAATCAGGGGATGGGTGATGTGGTTAGCAGAACGCTTGCCATCTTTACTTCCCAGGACTTTACATGGTACCCACTCAAGGTTGGGTCAACCAGGGAGCCAAGGTCATTTTTTAGAAAGATTGTCCTGCTCTTTTAGAACACCACGACCTTCCTATCCACAGGTGAGATTCTAGTCACTAAACCATGGAGGTTTTTGTTTTGTCTGATAAATCAAAATGATCAGCAGTTTTATGTTTGTGAAACTACTGAGGAATATTACATGATGATATGTCCAGAGTACTGTGATGAAGTCCTTAGTAATTACTATTGTTGTGACTCAGATAACAAAGGCAGCATGCCATCAGATAGAGAACACCCCATTTGTTATATTATTTTGATTATAGTTATTACGAGGTGTAATCACATGAAATCCATCCAAGTGACTTTAATATGACGATCATCATCATCATCAACAGCATGTGTTGCTGCCATTATACATCATACCTGGCTTGTGGTCTAGTCCTCCATGCAATTTTATCCTGTGCAATCTTTGTGATATCATGGATGGAATCCAGTCCAGCACCTTTGTTCTCTCACAAAAACGTTTATCTAAGAATTTTCTTTTGGACATCCTCATTTCCTCATTCCATCTGTTTCCTACATCAGCATCCATTCTGTGATTCTTTGTCAGTTTCTCCTCATAATCATCATCAGCTGGCTGGCCGACTGGCGTGGGGCGTGCCTCTCCACAATCTGCGATCTCCTATCAGTTCGTGTGCTGACACACCTCCATGCCATGCAACAAGACTGTCAAGAATCTTCTCTCGTTGTCTTCCTCTATCCCTCCTTTCACAGATCTTTCCAGGGGTCCCAACATGTTCCATTTTTCCTCTTCCCATAACATGGCCGAAAAATGATGTCTCCTTCTGATATCCGTGATAAGTTGTCTTCGGGCTCCCGCCTCTTTCAAAACCTCTTGGTTACTATTTTTTGTCCTCCCAAGGTATTTTAAGCATTCTTCTGTAAAATCACATCACTGAGGCCTTGAGAAATTGTTTGGCCAGTCTAACAACTGTCCAGGACTCACAGCCATATAATAGGGCCAAAATATTTTCTCTGTCTTATAACCGAGGATATGAGCTATTATGAACTTATGGAAGGCAAGTTAAAAGCAGTTATGGCCAAATCAAAGCAACTGTTAGAAATCAAGCATACTCCTGGAATGGTTAGAAGTTGCCCAAGGCATTCAAATGTACATTCAACCACTTGAAGAGATGGCGAATATCATTTGCAAAGGACTTTGGATACTTATTCCAGTCTAGTGATTTGTCACTATAAGACTTCCATCTGTCATACCCAGCAGTATCATTAACGAACGAAATGTTTCGTAAGGAATCTATGAACTGTACTCTGTTACAGAGTGTTCTCTATCTGATGGCATGCTGCCTTTGGAGTATCCTACATGTTATCTAAGTCACAACAATAGTAATTACTAAGGACTTCATCAAAGTACTCTGGACATTTCATCATGTACTACTCATCAGTAATTTCACAAACATAAAACTGCTGATCATTTTGATTTATCAGACAACTTGTGCCATTAGTGATATGTTAGAGTTTCAGGATAAACCACGCATATCAATCAGTCTGAACAAAAACATACAGTTATCATTTCCTTTGCAGTGAAAAGGCAGAATTTTTTTTTCCAGTTTATAAACATCCCCATTTATGAGAAAAGCAAAGTATGCAAGATGGCTAGGTAATATTTGTCATGACATCCAATAAAATAAAACAGAAAGTAAGAAATACTCACCAACATTACACATTGTTACATTCATTGTTCCTTCACTGTCAGTGGTAATATTTGAGCTACAGTTCTGACAACTCTCAAATTTTAGACTCTCATCTTTGTAAGTTCCTCTGGGACAAATTGAGCATCCTTTGCCTGTGCTGTTTACTTCATACCCAGGTGGACAAACAACTGTAAATGCAAACAATTTATGAGTAAAATGAGCTTCACACTCTCAGTAATTATAATAATTATTTTTTATCTCAACAGTCATGTCAAATTTTAACTTATAACTTTCCTATTATTACTCTTAGTCAGTTGGTTAGTCAGTTGGTTAGTCAGTTGGTTAGTCAGTTGGTTAGTCAGTTGGTTAGTCAGTTGGTTAGTCAGTTGGTTAATCAACAAACTATCCTCATTGCACATTGGACAAGTCAATAAGCATCCGGATCCCATCTTCAGTATATCCTCAGCATTCAGCGACTGATAACACCAGTTCTGTGTTGGTTTACTATTCTTCTTTGACTATCTGTATAGTGTTTATGTTTGGTGACACCTATTTTCACCTGAAGTTCCTGTAGCCTTTTGAGTGTTGCTGATTCAATGTCATCTCCTGAATCATCTTCTCATCCTGCCTCCTTGAGAGCACTGAGAATGTCGGCCCGGTCCATTGCTTTCCACCATGGCCCTGTCAGCAAGCCGATTATCCGCTCTTACCCCGGAGTGTCCTGGCACACAAAAATTAAACTAATTCCTTTCAGACAAGACTTCCACAGCAACTCCAACAATTTTCTTTGAATCCATCTTGTCTCTATCTTCTTAAGCATACTCATGGAAACACTTCGAAAGCATGCATGAGAAAAATGCTGTGTCTCTAGCCACATCATTATTACTCTACCTAAAGGTGATATATAATATCTAATAGTAATTCTATACATGTATGTATTCTTCTTCTTCTGAGTTTGCCATTAAATGGGCAATTGGTGCACTGTGCTGTGGTAATGTTCTAGAAAGTACAAATGACTGGTGTGATCCTGAGCCACTTTATTTATTTGAACATTAGGTTGGACTTCGACGGTGACCAAGCTCTATATGGGTAGGCTACGTGGAAATGTTCTAGAAAGTACAAATGACTGGTGTGATCCTGAGCCACTTTATTTATTTAAACATTAAGTTAGACTCCCATGATGACCAAACTTAAAATGGGCACTTGGAAATGTTCTAGAAAGTACAAGTAATTGGTGTGATACTGGTATCAACCATGAGGTGTTGTATGAGTAAAGATAGCTGGTATGAAAATGATATCACCCATGGCATGTCAACTTGTCTAGTATTATATACCCTATGTGCATCAATGTGTATGTAAGAAAAGAATGCATTTTATTCTTTCAATTAGGAGAAAAGATGGGGCAAAATATGTGGGGAAAATACTAGGCATGAGAGACAATGCAAATATAGGCAGAGCATACTTATCTCTTCAGGCACCGAGCAGCAATGCGAATTTTTTTTTGTTTTTTTTAAAACTGGTATGACTGTTCTTATGATTGACAGTAAGAATTGTTTTGGACTGAAAGAGTTAGTGAGAATAAGAAGATAAATCTTACATGTGCAGTTATCTATACTGACAGCGCCATCTGTCTGCGTCTGGTAGTCTTTTGGACAAGGATGACAAGACTCCTGCAAGGTTTCATTCTGGTAAAAGTTGTAAGGGCACTTGAAACACTTCTCCTCTGTCACGTTCAGATACATTCCAGCCATGCATATTGCTGTTTAGTGAAGAGAAAAGTATATATTTTATGATGTCTTTCAGTATGATATTACATCACAAGTCATTCTCTAAGTGGACAAATCATCTCATTTGCTGTCTTTGGTATGTAATTTATAACTGGTTATGTGCCGACATTTTCTCTTATGACCAGGTTCCTGATTTAATCTCTTCTGGTCATTCCTTCAGCCCTTCTCAGACAGCAGTCTTTTCCAATTTCTTAAATTTTAATTGTATCTTTTCTTGTTACGCTGTTCTTCTAAAACATATCTCTGTTGTTATGATTTCCCCTGGTAGTTAGGGTCTGTGTTTGACCCTGATAACATAGTTATTAGATCTGCCTTGGTCAAAACAGGTATTCTTACATGTGTCAAAAATGGTGTTAGTTGCCCCAGTACCTGATATGCTTTTTTGCACAATGCATGTAAACATAAATGTATATTACAACATGTTGCTCTGTTGTTACCCTGGCTCGGTCTGTGCTGATGATAACTCTCAACATCCTGCGTTATGATGTAGATATGAACACAAAGAGGTACAATCAAAACACTTGCTCTCAACTAACAGCCACGACAGAATTACAACTTAACAAAGAGGCAATTACCTTTCAGTACAAAAAGTTCATTTACACATGGATTTCACATCTAAATCACAGCACTACATAATTCGCAGACACTGGGCATGACAATTTATTCAGTTCTCATCGGACACTCCTGGCGTTCCAAGTCCTCGTTCCCTCAGCTCACAGTTACCGTTCACTTCAGTCACTCCATGACATAATACTCACGAATTCGACAATCTGTGATGTTAGCTGAACCATTTGACATAGTTGTAAAACCATCTGGACACATGGTGCAGTTTTTAAATCTCTGGTCAAGGTCACTAGAGCGGTAATATCCACGATGACAAGGCAAACACTGTTGGCTCTCTGATGGATTCTCCTCGTGTCCAGCGGGACATACAACTGTAACAAATATTTGGTTTAATTTTTATTTTCAAATTTCAAAGCAGGAAAATGATAAACCTTGACACATAAATCTTTGACTTTCACATTACTTCTGTGAAATCAATGATTTCCACAATATTTCCTTGTTGTAAAATTTGACCACAAATGACACAAACAACATATTGCTCAACTTTTTGCCTGACATATTTCACTGTATCATGTCAGGTTTATACTACAGTAACAACTATGTAACAACTGTGTGATCTAATGTTTGTGTCTTTGTTAAAATAATTTATTTACTGCACATTTAAAACTACTGAAAACCATAAATTATAATATTATCAAACATCTAAGAAGTAGGTTTACAGTATTTTCAGTCGCAGGCTGAGGAACACAAGTTACATACATTTCTCCACTTCAGAATGTTTTAGCAATATTAGCTGTAAGACTGTCAGAGAAATTGCTTAATTATATTTCCAATTATGTTTTATAAGAGAAACAAAGGACTATGTGACGGAAAGAGTTATGTAATAGTGTGTAAAGGTGAGAGGATTGACTTCACTGCCCTAGGTTTATGCCATAAGGCTTAGTCTCTCCTCTGCAGAGTAGAAAGTTGCGAGCTGAGAACATCAAACAATGCATGAAACTCAATAACTATTTTTTTTTAAAAACCGCAACTGCAAACCAGGGGATGGAATTTAAAACTGAATTCTTCTTCCCCTTTATAAGTGATCTCTGGTCCTGAGCTTAATCCACAGTCTCCAATTGAATTCCCAAACTTGGCACCAGAAGACATATGGCTTAACCACTTTACATTGCCACATACTCTGTTTAGTTATCAAACTTGATCATGTTAACATTTTAATTACCAAACCAGCTCTTTGGACTGTCGCTACTGCCTGTATTTACCAATTTTGTTTTGCAGTGTAGGGCGGAAAAGGAGGGGAAGGGAGGGGTTTAGAGCCTGAGGATTGAAGGTCGCATGGTTACTCCTGTTACCATGGACTGTGCAGATTAGGATTTTATTTTTGTGTCTGACAGAAAAAATCCACAACCTTACCAAGGATTTGAACCCAGGCCTCCCTCATGAAAGTCGTATGCTCTAACCGTTCAGCCAGCTACTCTCTCTCTTTGCTCCATGCGTCTGATATTACTGCAGTGGTCAATTTAGATAGTTAAATGATATATTACATGTTAGAATACTTACAACGACACATAGACGCATTTGTTGAATTTGTGTTTTCTGTAGTAAAGTTAACCCCACAGGGTAAACATTCAAACTCTGCTTCGTTTGGCTGGTAGCTGCCATAATCACAAGGCTGGCACACAAGGGACAAGTTGCCTTGCACAAAATACCCTGGGCTGCATTTAGCTGTAGAAAGACATAGTCACTCAGTTTAGTAGATCCCCTGCCCCTCCTAACAAGCATGCAACTCAAGTCGCCTAATTATGGGTCGGAAGGTCATGGGTTTGCTCCCTGGCGGATTCAAACTTTTTTTTCAAAAATGACCTTGACTCCCAGGTGGATCCAACCTGCATGGGTACCGGGTTCAGTCCTGGGAAGTAAAGGCAGTATGATGCTGACCACATTACGCATCTTGTGCTGATTCGTTTATAAAAATATAGGTCTAGCCCTATATCCCCTATAGGCCTAAAGGCGTGGAAAAAGGACCTTGACTTACTTTACTAATTATGGGTGTTTCCTTCAAAGTCAGACTGCAAATGCCTGATAGGCAAGGAATCAACAGTCTGCATACAAGTAAGTCAGCTCTGTAACATGGATGTGTACACAAATCTCAATTTCTGGACTAAGACTGGAGTCCACAAGTGGATAAACAATAAGAACCTTCCACCGAAGTTTACAGGTGCTGAATGCGATGAAGACGATGAAGAAGATGATGAAGAAGAAGATGAAGAAGAAAATGAAGAAGAAGAAGACGAAGAAGAAAAATACTAAAAGAAGTAGATGACGAAGAAGATGATGATGACGAGAAGAGAAGAAGAGAAGAAGAGGAAGAAGAAAAAGAAGAACAAGAAGAAGAAGAAACAGTATTACTATGCTGGTAAATACTGTATTTTCCCAAAAATAAGACTGCGTCTTATAATAAATTTGCTCCAAAAGATGCCCTAGATCAAGGGATATCACTTTTTTCAAGAAACATTCCTGGAATTTGGAAAGCCGAACAAAAGTCAAATGATAGAAGAGGCTGAGGTTTCACCATTGACTATATCCAAAGACAGCTGTGGCTGCACTGAAGCCTACCTTCACTGTGAAGAAGGCACTTACATATATTCAACAGGGAAGTCATTTGCTTAGATATTGATAGATAATAACTGTAAAAACAGAGGTTTTTGTACTCACGTATTTGGCAATCTGTGATGTTGGTTGAACCATTTGACATAGTTGTGAAGCCATCTGGACACATGGTGCAGTTCCTAATTCTCTGGTCAAATTCCTCAGAACGGTAAGAACCACGAGGACAAGGCAAACACTGCTGGCTCTCTGGTGGACTCTCCTCATGTCCAGCAGGACATACAACTGTAGCAAAGATGAGGTTTTGACAAATGCAGGTTTTGATAAATCAATACTGCTATATATGGCAACCCTCAGATTTCTTCTTTTTCTTGGCGCACACTGGTTGTAAACTGCAGCAAAAATTTCTGGTTGTTCATCCACTTCTGGACTTTGGTCTTGTTGCAGAAGAGTTTTGCTTGCTCATCCATTTTCCAGATCTGATTTTTTAAATGCAGACTTGCTTCTTAGGCAGATGCACTCCAAATTCAAAAGAAACATCCCCTAATTAGTCACTCCTATAATTTACTTATTAGGCGAAAGTGGATCTATCTCCCCCCCCCCCCCCCCCCCCCCCCCCCGCGCTTATAATGGGGCCCAGGAATGAATACGTGGATATAATCCTAATATTCTCAATGCATTTTTGTAAGGTTTCTAAATAAAAAGCTGACATATCTGGTACAACTCACGAAAATCACCCCATCTCATCAACTGCATGATTTTGTAGGGGATTTCCTGGGACATAGTCTAGGAGTGTCATGTGTTCCTTGTTTTGATTGCTTTAAACACATCCATCAATGACAACAGCTACTGCCAATGGGCATAAAAATACAAAAAAAATCACTGATTTGTTACTCACGAATCATCGCGACTCCAATGCTTCCCACTGCAGTACTTCTTCCTTGCATACAAATACCTTTAGCCCCTGATACCTAATCACAGCAACAACACATTCCAGACACAACAGTTGTTTACAGGAAAGAAAGTTGCAAAAAGAAAGTGCAGTTTCATCTGGGAGACATTGTGTCCACATTGTCGAATGAACCTGAGTCACTTTTCAGCATGCTGTCAAGGACGACATATCATAACACCTCTACAGTCTAGGACAGCCTTAGAAACCGCTAGGAAATCTCATCGCCAACAAGATGAGGTGACTTTCGTTAGAAGTATCAAAAATGTGTTGTGTAGATGAAATGTCTTTGATCTTATAATTTCCTCAGACCCAGAATCCACTTTTATTAACTGAGGCGATATCTTCCATTTTTCATTTGCATTTACCCTTAAAAATGTGGTTGGCACGTTGCACTGAGGTTTACAGCTAGGCTGCAATATCTTTTCCGACAGGCCCAGAACATTACATTTTAGCAAACTCCTAACTATTCTTCTCCTGCTTTTTATCTCAATGGAGCACAGACCAGAACAGCAGAATCAGCTGAAAGTTTTATGTATAGCAGAACTACAGGATAACGAATGAATATTATAATACTAATGAAAAAACAATCATATTACTGAGTGTAAGAGAATTACCAATCTAGTACTGTGAACTATGTTTATAGAATAGCTGAATGGCCATTGCAATAATGCATAAATTCACATGTTAGCACACTTACAACGACACATAGACGCATTTGTTGAAGTTGTGTTTTCTGTAGTAAAGTTAACCCCACAGGGCAAACATTCAAACTCTGCTTCGTTTGGCTGGTAGCTGCCATAATCACAAGGCTGGCACACAAGGGACAGGTTGCCGTGCACAAAATATCCTGGTCTGCATTTAGCTGTGGAAAGACATGGAACAAGTCACTGAATTTAAAAAAAAAAATTATAAATGTTTAAGTCAAAAAGAACTAACAGGACTGGAGAGCTCTGAGAAATGGGAATAAGGTGTCAAGACTCTATAAATGGAAAACCCAACCTGCACCTCTATGTGGTAGAGGATAGTGAACACACTGTAGTTTTGACAACACAGCTAAAGTAACTGAGTATCTACCAGGATAATTGGACACCTCTTGTGTGCTCTCTGCTGTTAAGAGTATCACAAAGTAAGGTACTAATTTAATGTGTCAGACAATTTTAAAGGCTACTAACGGCTGAGGAATATAGTCTAAAGCTATGTGGATGTGGAAACAAGGGGAAACTATCACATTATTATCCCAAGAGATTTATCATGGAGGATGGGCTGCAGCCAATCAGTGCACAGATGGGCCAGGTTATAGTGACATCTTGGGTAGGAAAGTGCAGGAGATTTTACAGCTGGTGAGAAACTCAGTTTTTCATGGCAGACTTTGATGAGAGCAACATTCTGCAAATGTCATACTACATGATGATGATGATACTGCTAGTTTAAAGTCATTAGCAACTACGTAACTTATTGTGTATGTAGTGCATACCCCACACACAATATAATGATCCTAACCCTTTGGCTCTGTAGGGATCTTAGATACCGGCCTTTTCACAAAGCACATTAGATTGGAACGGATCCTTATAATTCTCTGAAACTATACCTAAGAAACTATATTTTCTATTTCCAAACCTATGATCCTGAGCAGACCAGCAAGCAAACTTTACAGATCATTTATAGATAATATAAAACATCTGAATAAATTGTTGGGGATGTGGAGGTGTTGAACCACACATGAGAGTGAAGCTGGACAAGCTCATACTGGGCAAGCCCTTTCTACATCTATCTGTGGTCATCCTATGAACAGGTTTCCAACTAGGGTCCAGGCGAATGGAGACTGGATCAACACTTCGTTCGAACTCACATTGTATCTGCCTGAGAGGTGAGGAATCAACATTTTGCATACAAGTATGCTAGATCTATAAAACAGATGGGATACAAAACTCAGGTCTTGCCAAAGTCCAGACGTGGATCAACAACTAAGACTTTCCACCAAAATTTAAGGCCGGCGAAAACAAAGAAGAAAAATAAACTGTTGCAAAGTTCAATCAGCAAATATCTAGAAATGATACATTTTAAAATAAAAAGCAACACTTTAATACTATAAAACATTTGTGGGGGGGGTGGCAGACTTACGAATGTTGCACTCATCCTCTGATATACTGCCATTCCCTCTTGTTGTCATATTTGACTTCGGACATGGAGTACATGGGTCCTGAAGATTGCCAGGTCTGTAAAAGCCTCTCTGACACTCCACACATTCTTTTCCTTTCAGTTCTGTACCAGGTCTGCAGAAAGCTAAAAAAAAAAAAAAAAAATGAACAAATGCAACTGAAACATTGTATCATTATGTATCAGCATTCGCGCCCAAGAGACACTGTCATTTACAAAGATGGGTCTGTGATGTGCAAGATAAGATCAGCATGGCCAAACACAGCACAAAGGATGGGAAAACAATAGAAGAGGACATTGGCACTTACCAGTTAAAAAGCATTAAAAGTCTATGGTTAACTCTTTGAGTCCCAGAGGGTTTAGCATCACAGGCCCAAGGGGTAGTCAAAAGTGATGTACAATCAACTCATCATGCATTCATTGGGCTTCTAGGCAGTAACCTATGAACGTATAATGCACTCCTTGGGACTCAAAGAGTTAAGCACCAGCAAGGAGATAAAAATTAGAATTTTGTCAGCATGCATCTTCCCTGTAGCAACATACGGATGTGAGTCATGGACTATCTCCCAGTCCCTAAAAAAGAGAATAGGGGCTTTTGAGCTGAAATGCTATAGAAAGATTCTCAGAATATCTTAAACAAGAGGAGAGAAACTGACATCTTGAAAGATCTGAACATCAAGGAAGATTGGCTAACAAACAGCATCCTGTCGCTGAAATATTTTGGTCAAATCAAGCGCCACGAGGGATTGGACAAAATAATAGGAGAAGGCATGGTACCAGGAAGGAGGGGCAGGGGCCGACTGACACGAAGATAGGCACAGGATATCAGTGACTCCTTGAGTATGAAAGTACACAAGGCAGGAGAGCTGGCGAGAGACCAAGTGTCTTACAGGCAGACCATGATGAGAGCAACGTTCTGCAAAGGACCTGCTACATGATGATGACTGCACTTACCAGACAACCATGTTGTGCATGAACAAGGAGATAACTGTTGATTCCAGAGCACTCA